TACCGCTGATTACAGAACCGGCTTTCTGACAAGATGCGCGTTAAATATCGCATGCGATTAATCGTGCAGCCTTAATTCATATACTGCTCTGATTTCAGATAAAGACTATGAGAACGCCATCAAGTATTACACAGAAGCACTGGAGCTGAACCCCAGCAATGCCATCTACTACAGTAACAGGAGTCTGGCGTACCTGCGCACCGAGTGCTATGGCTATGCTCTGGGGGACGCCACGAGGGCCCTGGAGCTGGACAAGAACTACATCAAGGGCTACTATCGGCGAGCCACCTCCAACATGGCCCTGGGCAAGTTTAAAGCAGCACTCAAAGATTACGAAACGGTGAGACTCTGTATATTCTCATCGCTCTAATATAGTGTTTTTAGATAAATATATTGTATTGATGCAGCGAAATTTCTGCATTTAAAAATATTCGGCTGAAACAGCAGTTTCTGGTTTGCATCAACTTGACTAAATATTATTTGTAGAGCACCTGTCATCCAATAATCACAATACATCTGGTGCTTTAACATGAAGCAAGCGTGAAATAAACGTGAAGTTATGTTGAAAGAAACAGTACAGCTTACATCATGCAGCCTATTTCAACCACGGAAAGACCTCAATGAAACGACTTGTTAACAACATGTCACATTTACCTCAGGAAAGACATTCAACGTACATGAACTCTAAAGTCGGCTAGAAAAATAAGAAGCATATATGCACTATATTACATATTGATGAGATCTTTACTTAATCTGTTGTCTTCATTATTTAATGTATGTTTGAATAAATCTGTCATGAAAATAAGTTTTTACAGCTGTGTTTAAATGTTTATATTTCAGTAGAAAAATTATTCACTTAGTAAAAGTGGTCATAAATACTGGCTTTTACTACAATTTACAATTTATTTCCTGAAACATCCTGGATTTTTGGCCCAGAATTTTCATTTTGGTGAATATATAAATGATAATCATGTGCTAGGTCAGTATTAGGAAAGAAAACATCTCTTTTCTGAATCAATGTTGATTTGTGATTTCACATATGTGACCCTGCAGCACAAAAGCAGCCTTAAGTCGCTGGGGTATATTTGTAGCAATAGCCAACAATACATTGTGTGGGTCAAACTTATTGATTTTTCTTTCATACCAAAAATCATTAGGATATTAAGTAAAGAGCATGTTCCATGAAGATATTTAGTAAATGTCCTACTGTAAATATGTTAAAACTTAATTTTTGATTAGTAATATGCATTGCTAAGAACTTCATTTGGACAACTTTAAAGATGATTTTCTCAATATTTCAATTTTTTTTGCACCCTCAGATTCCAGAATTTCAAATAGTTGTATCCTATCCTAACAAACCATACATCAATGGAAAGCTTATTTATTCAGCTTTCAGATGATGTATAAATCTCAATTTAAAAAAATTGACCCTTATGACTGGTTTTGTGCTCCAGGGTCACATATGAAAATAACCAAAGTATGTAGGTCTGTGTGAGAATTAAGGTTGCAAAGGGGTGGAAAATTTCCGGAAACTTTCCAAAAATCCCTGGAATATTTGCAAAAAATCCTGGAAAGTGTCCAAAATTTCTGGAATATTTCCAAAATTTACTGGACATTTTCCGCCTTTTTGCAACCCTAGTGAGAATGCAATCGTTTCAGGCAACACTTCTTTGTTTAAGAGCTTAAAAAGCAAATAACCCTAAGAACTAGTCACTCTTTTCTATGTGCCGCTCCTAAAGTAACTGTTCTAATGCCAGACACAGTTCTAAGATATACACTGCAAAAAAATGGCTTATCTTACTTAGTATTTTTGTCTTGTTTCTAGTCAATCTGCCAGTGGAGTAAGTAAAATACTCTTGTTTTAAGAATATTTTACTTACCCCACTGGCAGATAATTTTACTTGTTTTAAGCAACATGCACTTAATTTAGATTTTTTTCCCCCCCCTGGAAACAAGACTAAATATCTGAAGTCAATTGGCTTATCTAGTAAAAGTATCTTGATTTAAGAATTCTATAACAAAAATACTAAGTAAGATAAGCCATTTTTTGCAGTGTACTTCAAATACAGTTTTCTAGCCTTAAAACAACATTCAGCTCGGCACACAAACTTGACTTGATTTTTTTTTTTTTTGTAAAAGTTTTTTGTGCTGCTGTCTTTTCATTGCTAACAGGTAGTTAGAGTTCGTCCCAATGACAAAGATGCCAAGATGAAGTACCAGGAGTGCAATAAGATCGTCAAACAGAAGGCCTTTGAGCGGGCCATCGCCAGCGACGAGCTCAAACGATCAGTCGTAGACTCCTTAGACATCGAGAACATGAGTAAGTGCTTGGAGAAGGTTACAGTTATTAGGAGCAAATTATGCTTAATGACAAGCAATCAACCCTAAACATAACCCTATGTGTTATTATAAGTAATATCACTCAATAGTTGATTTTAGAAATTACTCAGTTTGAACACCTTCAATTGAAGTGTTAACGATTTTTTTTGTGCTTGTCTTATTTCCCATTTTCCCATATTGCTCAAAGCATTTGAGAAAAATGCTGATGTTATTTTCATGGAAAAATTATTTCATTGTAGTAATAAGGTGGCCTAACAAAAATGCTAATTATAGGGTCAGTTATTATGAAACGTTATGTACAATGTTTGGTTTTGACAAAGCAGCAGAAGTGTGTGGTACAGAGAAATTAATTGATGACATTAGGTCTTTTCATTGACCTGTTGCGAAAATTTAAAAAAAAAAAAAAAAGGAAAATTCTTTGCAGTTGAAAAATATTTCAGAATATAAATTATTAATGATTTTTAATAATTTAGAGATATTATGATCTCTCTTTTTTTTTTTTATTCTCTTCCACCAGCAATCGAGGATGACTATGCTGGACCTAAACTTGAAGATGGGAATGTTACATTGAAGTTCATGAAAGACTTGATGGCCTGGTTCAAAGACCAGAATAAACTGCACAGAAAGTGTGCTTACCAGGTGAATGCTCTACACACACACACACACACACACACACACACACAGACATACACACAGACACACACACACAGATCTTGAAACGTAACTGTGTTCATCTATTATTCATTTACTTAAGTCTGGGCAATATATCGATCATATCAAATAAACCTGTAGAAATGCATTCGGATTACGCTCACGTGAGGTTGTAGTGCTGCACACTTGCACTTTTAAGCCTTGTGGTTTAAAAACAAGCGCTAAAAGGTTTGGAAGAGAACTCAGTTTGATGCTCAGACATTGTCTGTGAGACGGTTTATGTGCACAGTCGAAGTGCGCACATATAAAGTCGCAGGTTGCACGGTGTCTGAGTACTGAATTGATTTCTTCTTCGTGGCTTATTGTGTTTAAACGGTCAAATGCTCACAAAATACATCAAAATATACACATAAACACAGTCAGCTTTGTCTTAAATGAATGTAAACAGTTGGGTAAAAATAGTATGTGCCTAAATATATTAGATCCATGCATTAGCTCTTAAAGTGACAGCAGCCCAATAAACCCACTTCAATCTCTGACCTTAATGTTTATCAGACAACAAAAGACAAAAAGAAAATCACACACTGCTCTGAGTAACTTTTGTAGCTGTAATAAAAATCAATGTAATCAATAAAAAAATCAGTACAGAGTCTTTTGTTGTTTTAGTGTTTTTATGTGGAATTATTGGAATTAATATTAGGAATTTCACTGTTTTAGCTTTTATCAGCTAAAACAGTGTTCGTTTATATGATAAGTATAATAAATCACGAAAGTAAATGAGGTAAAATCTCTCTTGATATGTTCTTATAGTGTAATAATTCTGATGAAATGTTAAAGATATTTGTCAAATGACAACAATTCACAATTATAATTTAAGCAAAACAATCATGATTATCAGTTTAACTGTTATCATGCAGCCCTTATGAAGTGCCACAAAATGAAACTGATGAAATTAAAATAAATATAACATTTCAGTAAGTTTGTCATAGAAGATGGGTGTTCAAGTTATTGTCTTTATAGATTGCATTTTTAGGGTGATTTCACACTAGCACTTTTGGTGCGCACCCGGGTTCGATTGACGTTAGAGTTCGGTTCGTTTGGATCAGTGTTGCCAAGTCTGCGGTTTTCCCGCGGAATTGGGCTAATTTAACACTGTTGCTGCGGGTTGTTTTTCATGTCCGCGGGTTGAAGAGACTCCAATAACATGATATTTATCCCCTGGAATGCTAATATTAACAGGGGAACCCAGACAAAAAACGTGTATTTTACCCCCCGGAATGCGATTTTTAACTGGGGACCCCCTCGAAACGCGATTGGGCTAGTTTTGAGTAGCGATTGGGTGGGTTTTCTTGTGCAAACCTGGCAACCCTGGTTTGGATGATGTGAACGCTGTCTTCCGAACTCGGGGGAGCACCCGTGAACCGTACCAGAGTCCGCTTAAAAAGTGTGGTCTGGGGGTACGGTTCATGTGAACTCCGGTACGTTTCGCTGCTGATGTGAGTGCAATCGTACCAAATCGCGGAAGTGAACCGCTATTAATTATGTATTATTTGATAAAAATGTGTGTTTGTGTGTGTTTCACTCACTTTCCTGACGAGCGTGACTGACACGCTGCAAACAGAGAGCTGTATATCTCATTTCTGTTCGCCTTCAGCGTTCTTTAGAGCATTTGCAGTACATTCGTATGACAGACGTAAGTGCCGTTATGTACCAAAGGTTTGTAAACAAAACCAACGGTTCAAAAACGTAAATATATGAAAGTGCAGAGAGCAATGATATGTATTTGCCGCCTTCTCCTGCGCCGTCGTTACTAAGCTACGGGGTAAACAGCTGCTGGCTTGATGACGCAAACGAACCGCGGTTCGGACCCAAATAAAATAATATGAACGCAGTCCAGCAGGGGGAGGGGGAGGGGGGAGCAATCGAACTCGGGTTCGGACCAGGCAAGCGAACCAAGTGTGAGAGCGCCCTTAATGTATTTTTGAATAAATCAGTAGATCCTACAAAACAGTCTTGTCACTGACTCATGATCATAATCAATATGACTGTCTTTCAGATGCTGGTTCAAGTTAAAGAAGTTTTATCCAAGCTTCCGTGTCTTGTTGAAATTTCATTAAAAGAGGTAAGAGAACAGAATGAGTGTTTACACAGTCTTCAGTCACCAAAAAAGCTGGAATTCTATTTCTGTCTTTTGTTGTTGTTTTGTTTTTGTCCATATAGCAATTTCCTTTGATGATAAAATGATAATGCTGTTCTCACTTTTCATTTCTCTTGTTGTTTAGACGGAGGAAATAACTATTTGTGGAGACACACATGGCCAGTACTACGATCTTCTAAATATCTTTGAGCTGAACGGTTTACCATCTATAACTAATCCTTACGTATCCTTTCCTTTCGGGTTTGTAATGTTGGCATACCTGTTCTCTTGAGTATGTAATTGAATATGAACTGTTTAACTGTATAATATTATAATAAATATTTAAACCATCACCTTAGTCTAACTGTTTGCTATGCCATAAAATGCACCCCCCCCCTGAGATCCAGTGAATTAGCCTTGACTTCAGGCTCTCAGCTGTTCAACGGTGACTTTGTGGACCGCGGCTCTTTCTCTGTAGAAGTCATTCTCACGCTGTTTGGCTTCAAGCTGCTCTATCCAGAACACTTCCACCTGCTTAGAGGTGAGGACACACCAGCGTTTCCTAGTACAGGTTCCCAAACATGCTTGTGTGTGATGGATAAATGTTAGCATTTGAAACGTCTGTTCTGTGAAGGGAACCACGAGACGGATAACATGAATCAGATGTATGGCTTCGAGGGTGAGGTGAAAGCGAAGTACACCGCCCAGATGTTCCAGCTCTTCAGTGAAGTCTTCCAGTGGCTTCCTCTCACACAGTGCATCAATAACAAAGTGCTGGTACGACAGGAGGCCGCTCATCAGATTCAGCACATTCTGCTGTCACATTTACACCACTTTGTATTTTTGTGTTTGAATGTGAATGCGGGTTGAATTGTGTTTCAGGTGATGCATGGAGGACTGTTTAGTGAGGATGGTGTGACCTTAGATGACATTAGAAAGATAGACAGGAACAGACAGCCTCCAGACTCTGGTAAGACGTGTCCGATATCGCAAGATAATTTTGTTAATGTCCAAGCTTATGTGGTCCTGCATAGGCTGTGTGATATGACAAAAAAAATCTTTATTTTTGTATTTTTTCCCCCCAGAATGTTTGACTGGTTCAAGATAACATTTTTTTTTCTTTAACTAGTCAACTTAAAAACAACTACAACATGATTCAAGTAACATTCTCTGTATTAATACAAAACCATCTGGTTAAAGACGGTTTTATTCCAAGTGATCAACATGATGTAAATGCAAGACGAATGCACTTATTAAATATGAAGGCAAATACTGTATAAACTTGTCTTAAACATGTCCTGTATGTTAAGAAAAAATATAAATTAAGAAAAATGCTTAACTTTTCTTAGCCAAAATGTAAACATTCAGTTTTAGAGATCAACTCAAAAAGTCAAGGCAATTCAAATTCCAAATGACTAAAAGTATAACACCAGTGGTAGGGGTGTGAACAGGATGGTAAAATTCTCGCGAAGTGACTCTGAGATTACTTTTTTGTGTTAATGCCGTCATATAGTGAGACGCAGAGGCCGGAAATCACAGCGAGCGTCACGTGTGCTTCAGTATTTGTGTAGTAAACAAAACCGCGTTTCCGCCATTCATACATACAGAGGCAAGCGGAACATGCAGGATTCATATTTAAACAGTCTTTTTGCATTTTAATATTCACAGACACTAGTTCATATTGCGATTCGAATTAAGTGGCAGTGGCTACTTTTGATTTATTCGTCCAAAATTGACGAATTCCGTGGCATTCCGCGCTATAGAGTAAAGTACGTTTTACTCCATGATCCCGTCCGCGTTTTCGCAGAAACCATATGGCCCTAGAAACCACACTTCAGAACATTTCGGCTTGCCCTGTGTGTTGTTTGAATGAGTTGCAGGGGTGACCTCACGTCACAGGGTCTCTCTTTCTCTCTCTGTAGCGTATGCGCCCAGATGTGTTCTCAGGTACCGAAATTTGGCACCGATTGATTTAACGTTAGTCGGTACTCTGTGGTACCGACGCAATTCAGAGTACAGAGTTCGGTAAATTTGGCCCCAATTTATTTAACGTGAATCGGTACTCGGTAGTACCGACGCAATTCGGTCGGTACCCTTAAACCAACCCTAGTGCTAATGGATACTACAGATGAACACTGTTCAGTTTTACTAAGAGAGTCCTAATCCAGTCACGCTCAGAACTCAAGTGTCGCATGGCCAAGCACTTTTCATTGGACAATGTAAAGCTCAAGGTGTAATTTGTAACTTTCTTGCGCAGGTCCGATGTGTGATCTCCTGTGGTCAGATCCTCAGCCGCAGGTCAGTTCCTGTTCCCCTCCTTCAGCTAAGCGGAGGTTTTCGGTCGCAGCTGTGTTTGACTGATGTGTGTTCTCCTCCAGGACGGACGGTCCATCAGCAAGCGGGGTGTGAGCTGTCAGTTTGGGCCTGACGTTACGGAGCGCTTCCTGGAACAGAACAAGCTGCAGTACATAGTGCGCAGTCATGAGGTGAAAGCCGAGGGTTACGAGGTCACTCACTCAGGGAAGTGCATCACCGTGTTCTCAGCACCAAACTACTGGTACGGAAACCTCTCGCTGTCCTTAGAAGTGCGAAATGTGATTTACACAAACAGGACGTATTAAAATCAACCACGGGTCATAAAAACATTTGGGTGAATGTCATGTCAAGAACATGTCCTGGTCATATTTTACCCCAAAATTATGCATAAAGAAAATTAAGCATGACTGATTACCACTGCATTAAGCCCTGATTACTGCTGCACCGTACCATTATGAAAATTATTGTCTAATGGCGATCAGCGCAATTTTGCTCCACTTTATGTGGCTCACTAAAAACAAGAGCTGACTAAAATTGCAGAATTGAAGATTGTGGTACAAAAATCAGCAGATGTAATGTGCCACATTTAGTCAATATTACAATATAAAACCAAAGACTTTATTTGGAGAGAGTGCAAAGTCAGCACTCATTACATTAGACATCAGTCTAATGCATATTGAATTATAAAAAGCATAAATGATTTTTTTTTTCCATTTTTATAAATAATTACAACCTTATTGAAAACAAACTATGTGCTAGAACATGTTTGGGTCAAGTCAGAATGAAATGTCCGAACCCCTGAATAGAGACTCGGGTTCCATCATTACTTCCTGTGTATATTCATGACTTCTTCTTTTCTGTGTGCTTCTGTTTTGTTTTAAGTGACCAGATGGGAAATAAAGGAGCTTACATTCATCTCAGGGGATCAGACCTCAAGCCAGAGTTCCACCAGTTTACTGCTGTGGTCAGTGCAGTTACATTTATCCATGATTTATATTTACATTCAGTCATTTTTAGTGCTCGACCAATATATCGCCAGGGCCAATATTTTGCGTTTATTTATCGGCATTGGCTGATAAGATTTCTCTTTGGCCGATATGTCAGAAACCGTTATTTGGACAACATGCAGGACTTTTAACTCTAAACAACAACAAAAAATTGGTATACTAAAAAGTATTATAGCGTAAAAAGTAGTTTGCTTTTCTCTTATTAGTAATGGAAAGGCAAACGCTATAGTACTTTCTCATCTACCGTCAGCATTGAATATCTAATTAATGTTTAATTTTGCAAACTTTGTCGAATTCAGCTGTCAGATCTTCTGAAGTGTGTATTTGTAGGCTGCATAAAAACGAGTGTAGGTGACGGCCCGTCTGTCCATGCTAAATGGATGTGGACCGGAGAGTTCAACTGTAACAGCACTTTATATATGTAATATATATGCATTTATTGCAATCACTGTAAAATTATTTAAATATTAATCAGGGTTTTTGTAGGCTTTAAAAATGTCTTGCAAAGTCTTAAATCGCCCTTCCACAAAATAAGGCTTTAAAGATGACGTATCATGAATATCATTATAATATTACCGGCCCTTAATCTGTAAGTTTACACCCACAGCGCCGTTACTGTGTTTTCGCAAGCGACAATGGTTTACTAGCTCTAATGCCGTGCCGAACGTTTGAGCAAAACATGCTAACTGTTCTGTGTTTGGCTGCACAGACGAGCACAGAACACTGTTTAGAGTCCCAGCCTCAGAGGAGACAACAGAGCAGTGCATTTATTGATTTATTTACTGTATATTGCTGCTGCCACACAGATCTTAAAATAAACATGCGATTTATTTCTCAACAGTTTACCTTAACAGACATAACCGACTGTTCTTTTAACGTAAACTTGTGTGTGAATGAGAGCTTAGTTTAGTACTGCAGCTCATTTGCATTTAAAGAGACAGGTCCGAAAAACAGCGTGTTTCTGCTTCCACTCAAAATAGGCATTTTCAAAATGATATAATAAATGATCTGTGGAGTATTTTGAGCTGAAACTTCACAGACACATTCTGGGGACACCAGGGACATATTATATATTGTACAACGGGGCATGATATGTCTCCTTTAAAAAGTCTTACATTTATAAAATCATGGCATTAAATGTTGCATACACTGCAAAAAATATATATCTTCCTCAGTATTTTGCCTTTTTTTCCAGTTCAAATATCTATACATCTTTAGATCAGGATACATTTACTGCAAAATGAACATATGAAGTCTTGTTTTCTGAGAAAATATATCAAATTGAGGTTTGTTTTGTTTTAGTTTTTTAATCCTAAAAAATCATAAATACCTGTAAATGGTGTATGAAAACTTAATTTCCCTTTCAATTATGTTTTTTTTCCTAATTCCGTTGGTGGATATTTGTTATTTTTAATCATAAACTTGCTTCATTTTGATCAGTTTCACAGAAGACATACCATTTTGCTTCTCAAGTAAATGTATCTTGATTTAACAGTCTTTAGGCAATAAAAAACAAAAAAATAAAAAAAAAGATGAAAATGCTAGTGAAGAGCAACACTTTTTTGCAGTGTGATCAGAAGGTACAGTAAAAGTTATTTCCATATTCTACTTGTTTGGAGGAGAGCTATTGAAGTCTTAAGTTTTGTTTTTATAAAACGAATTTAAAAAGTCATGGAGATCTGTTGGAAGTTGTAATTTGTTGTAAACTTTGACGTGTTGCTAATACAACTCATTGTGTGGTCTAAAAGTCTTTAAATGTACCTTCAGAAAACCTGCAGAAACCCTGCTACTCTCATTTGTATAATAGTCCCAAAAAAGGGTCAGTTAATCACTAGTTAGCTGTGTATTGCTGTGATAAATGCAGTCTGTGAAGTGATTTTGTTTTTCCCTCTCCTCAGCCTCATCCAGATGTCAAGCCGATGGCATATGCCAACTCTCTGATGCAGATGGGTATGATGTAGAGGTCTGAAGTCCACACCAATCCCTCCGAATCCACTCTCACATTCTGCTCATCTCTGTTTCCAACACACACTTCCTTCCTCGTGTACACACACACACATTACTGTACTCATACCTGAAGATACATAGAGACGAAATCACTCATATTGGTGATGGCTTGACTCAAAAAAGGAGCTAGGAATGTTATTTGTGCATTGATGGATCGTTCTCGGACTGACCCTCCCCTCGCACTTATCATTAACATGTAGAGTTGCATAGTTTGAATTGGATGTTTAGCTCTGTGATAAATGAGCTGAATTTTACCAAAGAATGGGCAGGTGTATATGACGCATCCCAAAGTAAGAGTGCTGATGTAGAATTAGAGCCTTGTGACCAAGTTATTATGAGAAACGGAGGCAAAAAATTGATCTGCACTTTTACCCAAAGGTGTGTCTTTACATAGGGCCTTTATTTTGAAATTTTACCCCACGAACACAATCCCACATCCTATTTCATCTGAGGTACTGTTGGGAGGGAGAACAGTGTGTCATTTCAATACTGTAGCAGTGACGGTGTTGTACACGCCATCGATCAAAAAGTCACAGGAAACTCCTCCCAGAGCGTCTGTCCTGAGGTCAGAGTTTCCGTGATAAACGTCACAAAACAAATTTAGCTACCGTGTAACTTCAGTAGTTTTTTGGCTCTCTTTCCCTTCTTTCAGAATAGGGAAAAGTGCAGTATTGTGAAGTTCAGTAAGTGTTTGGTGCATGTTCTCCACTCTGTAGGCAGCTCCCACACGTTCTTTCTCCCAACATGCTCTTCTGAAATGCACTGGAGATGCTCTATAACCCTCGTATAGCCTTCCACTGTCTGTCTAGCAGATCCCGAACCCTTTGTGTGGACTCCAAATAACAGCAGAAACCTACCTTCCTCTCTTTAAGCGCACAGCAGCCATGACTTTTTAGAGAATATCATATACACCAACATACATGTATGCATATATATATATATATATATATATATATATATATTGAAATTTCTGTGTACATGTTTGGAGAAAAAAGAAGTTATTGAATAAAAAAATGCCGGTCCAAATATGTAGAATGTGTTCATAACTTTTTGTGTTCTGTTAAGTCAAGTCAAGTCACCTTTATTTATATAGCGCTTTTAACAATACAGATTGTGTCAAAGCAACTGAACAGCATTAATTAGGAAAATAGTGTCAATAATGCAAAATGACAATAGTAAACACAAATTTTTCAGTTAAAGACAGTTCATCATTGAATTCAGTGATGTCAACATCCAGCTCAGTTTAAATAGTATCTTTGCAATCAAGTCAACGGTATCGCTGGAAATGAAGTGTCCCCAACTAAGCAAGCCAGAGGCGACAGTTGTTAGTCGACACATGTTAGTTGACATGTTGGCTCCAGTAGTGACACCGGTCAGCATTGGCTGCAGCTGATATTAAAAAACGTTTCATTCGATCGATGAGGACTGAATGGGGAAACGTGTCCTTTTTTTATGTCTCAATACTGCACAATAGGCATGGTGTCTGGCGAAATATGTTTTAAATAAAAGTTGAAAAACGGACAAAACTAGTTTTGTGGCTTTCGTGGCTCGCAGAGCTTTAGCTGATCTTATCGACCCCAAAATGTTGAAATTAAGTGTAATTGTGTGTTTTAGTGAGTTTAATGTTGTTACTTTTGACATTTAAAGTGGTTTGTGGTTCGCATTGTGCTAAAGGGTATCGCTGGTGGTTAGGGTGTGGGTGGCTACATGATCACACACTACATTGACTCGATGGGAAAAGATCGTGCTGCTGCCAGTTACAAATAAAATTTACATGCTAGTTGATTTCCTTTTTAACTGAAATAGCTCAAATGAATTGCTTTCAGAACCACAACTCAATCAATTTAATTTGAATTTGTATGTATATAATCTCAGTGTTGTTTGTTTGTTGAACAGTTTCATTAGAAATAGTCATAACTTAAAAAGCTTGCAACTATCCGATCAGAGAAAACACATGAAGTGGCAAGTGTGAATAGGCCCTCTGATGTAGATTAGCATAAAGGAGGATGGACTTTGATGAAATACCCCCCACACATGTCAGAAATGTCTGGAACTGAATAAATGAGCTCTGTAATAGAACATGCCTGAATCTGCTGGACTCTGCTTCCATGTTTCTTCTAGACTCTCTGCCAGCAGCTTAATATCTGCTATAACGTTTTTGTCTATAGCAAATTGTATTAGCTGCACTCTTTCCTGACATATTGTAAACAACAGTTCATTATGTATTTTAAAGTTTGTAAACCCACACTCAATTGGCCAAAATCTGCAGAATCACTGACTTTTGGCAACTAGCTTCAACACATCCAGACTGCGCATTTCTGGCTGAAAGTCATGCAGTGTTTGCTACTCCAGTCTTAAAGTGATTTATGCATAGAGTCCATTCTATATCTAATGTATGTACCTTACTTGGAATCTAAGGGGAAATATTACCTTACCTTTTTCAAGGCCAGACCAGGTATGTAATTTTTTGAGCTTGAGGCCATATGTGCACTATAATTTGTATAAGTTATAAATAAAACAAAGATTACTAGAGTACTTTTTTTAAGCAAGACAATACTATTTCAGTTTTTTTTTTTTTACTTCAAAATTGGCTGAAATTACAAAATACTGTGATCTTTTTAATTATTTTTATTCATGTTTAATGACAGGCAAGACATTACCTGTTTCACTCAAGGATTATGATAAAAATGATTTTAAAAAGTAAGGTGAACAGGGGCCATATCATATAGAGGAACATTCTAACTAAAATATCTTATCTAGACATGTACTTTTTTTTTATTTTGGTAGCTAGTCTTGTGTTTTAGGCATACCATAATGTTACAATGTGAGAAATATAGTCATAGACTATACTGTAGACTTACTTATCAATGTATTATTATCTTATACTTAGTTAGCCCACATATTTGATTGGCCAAGCGGTGTTCCAAAGAGTATTGATCATTTCTACTGATATAATTACATATTAATCATTCACAGTAATGTGCTGCTGACTAAATACAGTGTACACTGTTCTTTACACTGAAAATAAATCGAAGAAACACGTTTCACTCTGAAATTGCTAGTTAAATTTTACAAACAATTATAAATAAACAGCATGTAAGCAAGTAAAAAAGGTATTTCCTTATTATATTTTTTTGTACAGTGTAGCAATATAAATAAATTACTTTTCATGTCTAGATATTTCACTTTGATATTAAGTTCCCTCTGTAGACTGCTGCTGCACTGATAAACAATCTGAAATTTCATTGACTAGAATAGTGGGTGGCGTCCACCTGTTTGTGATGTACAGTAGCCTGCAGGCAGCACTCCAAAAGGGGTGGGGACTCACAAAGGGGGGAGGGGCAGTGCGTGAAGCCCCGCCCCTTTCGGAGTTTCCCGCCACCGCTTTGGTTTAAGAGTGGAAAACCTTTTGTGCTTTTTTTATGTATTTATTTATTTATTTTTAAAAACAAGTATTGTCGTCAATAAGGTCATTTTTATTCATTCATTTGTGAATCCGTTTAACTTTTGTGAAATGTATTACATTTGTTTGTGGATCTTATTGTAGCTATTTGTGAATCAAGTTTCAATTTGTGAACATTTTCTGTTACAATATAACCCCACACCCTCAGCCTCGTTTTTTTTTTTTTACGTTATTGGAATATTGTATTTTTTTTTATGTTGTTGTAATACATTTGAGAAAAAAACAAAACAAACAAAAAAAAAGATTAAAGGTGGGGTAAGCGATGTCTGGTAGCCAATGTTGACATTTGAAATCACCAAAACAAACACGCCCCTACCCCAAAAGTGTCTCGCCCCTATTTTGATAGCTCCGCCCCACACATACGTACGCAACCCAGGCAACGGATTAGTTCTGTGAAACAATGCAAAGTTCCATTCATGACGTATTGACGCAAATTTCAAATGATTTTCAACGGTCGCTTTGTCGCGTCCAGTGTACTCTGATCCGATATTTACACGGGTCCTACTTCTTGCCTTAAGCCTTCTTTTGTTCCACAGACGTTTTCCTCTTTTGTTTTTTATCCGCCGTCTCTTATCTTTCTGTCGCTCGGCTCGCTAATGTCCGTCCCGTGCACTGAACGCGTGCTCCTCCACATCCTGAGTAGACACGCCCCTTACTGCTGATTGGCTACAAGTTTGTTTTGCTATTCGGCCCGAATCGGTTTTCAAAAGTGGTTTTGGAAAATCGCTTACCCCACCTTTAAAGTGACGAGTCACCTGAAACTACACAAGCCCCGCCCACACGAGTTTCAAACCTTTCCATCATCCGCCTGCAAACAAACCCATGAGTGTCAACCAGGCTTCTCGCCCACTTTCAGTCTCTCTCACACAGAAGCGCAAACGCATGGAGACTCGAGACTTCAGGTACTTTTGCCCGTGAACCTCATTGTTTCCACTCATAACACGGGCGCCATGAGTCGGGCAGAAGAGCTGTGTTATAAGGCACGTGAAATGGAAGTGGAGGAAGACTTTTACTCGTACGAGTTGAGTAATGCTGAAGGTCTGCGGGTGTATAAGGACAGCGAGGAGCTGTTCGCAGCGCTTCGGCAGAAGGAGGATGAGGTTCTTCTGGCAGCTCAGGTGGGCAAGGCTCTGCTGCTGGAGAACAGACAGCTGAAGCAGGAGACAGACGCGCTTCAGGACAAACACACGCAGCAGCTGGAGGTGAGCGAGGCGCACTGTTTCTCTGCAGCTTCAGTCTATACACTATCATGTGTCGTCATCATTTCCCTTTTCATTGCGACAATGTAGTCTTAGAAAAGTTGTTTTATATAAAACGTGATTTTTAAACTTGTGTCTATATCTAGATATTAATAATGCATGTATAATACTATATGTGCAGTGGTCCCAAAATTTTTCCAGGCCCTTTAAAAAATATTTAAATGAAAATTATTGTATTAAATATGAAAACAAGTATAATCCTATGATAGAGTTTCCTCAAAACCAGAGCTGGGTAGATTACTTGAAAATTGTAATCCTTTGCTGATTCCAAAGTACATGACAAAATTGTAATTAGTAACTAAATCCATTACATTATACATTTTAGGTAATATAATCATACGTTGAGATTACTTTTGACCTAACTTGTTTATCATATTGACTTAAATTGGATAATCTTGTACCGTATTGATATAAAAATGCAAATAAAAGAAAATATATTACGCTTGTTGTTATTAACATAATGAAGTGCATTAAACATTACATTACGTCAAGGTTTCCTAAACTGGGGTTCTTAAGTTTAATAAATAGCAAAAATTAATTAAATCATAAAAATTTAAATAAAATAAAAAAATATTTAATTTGTTTACCTGCATGTCATGTGACCATTAATCGACGTCACTGAATCATGAACATGCAAATGTGTTACTTAATTATTAATTTATTACCTTAAAAATATCTGGTGGAACTTCAAGTAAATATATTAGGTGAAAAAATAAAATAAAATACAAAATTGGGAATCCCTGCATTGCATGTAAATAACGTGAATTTGTGAATTTTAATGTGTTTGAAACAAAAATCTTTCATAGACACACACAGTAATACATGATTAAATAACCTGCTGAGTGATTAAAAAAAAGTGTTCATCAGTACACTCTTAAAAATAAAGGTGCTTCACGATGCTATAGAAGAACCTTTTTGTCTAAATGGTTCCATAAAGAACCTTTAACATCTGAAGAACCTTTCTGTTTCACAAAATCTTCTTTGTGGCGAAAGAAGATTCTTCAGATTACAAAAAGGTAAGAAAGAGATGGTTCTTTAAAGAACCTTTGACTGAATGGTTCTTTGTGGAACCAAAAATGGTTCTTCTATGGCATCGCTTGAAGAACCTTTTGAAGCACCTTTATTTTTAAGAGTGTAGTTGATGCAATGTTGTGAAAATACTTCTTAAATTTGAAATGATTTCTGTAAATCCAGTGGGCAAATGCTGTGAGGCCTTTCAGTTGTGATTACAGCCACCAGACTAGTTACTGGTCTTTGTGTGAATGTCCACAAAACTGGAGTCTTTCTAACTGTATATAGCGGTAGGCTATTTTAGAAAGGAACATTTAAAAGATGAAAAAGAGGAATTAGGGAGAATCAATAAATTATGAATAATTAATTACTATTGTCTAATCATGCAATCAGTACAAAAGTAACTAGTCTGATTACGAGTATTTTAAAATGTAATTTAATTCAGTTACTACCCAGCTCTGCTCAAAACTAACTTTACTTCTCTGAGCCATTTTTGCATTGACTTTAATGCTGCAGTTGCCATGATCATTTTTAGTGACTGTATGAAGTCATTTTCCCTCAGTGCACACAGGTGTCTTCATTTTCAGCTCTATATCTGTTGTTTTATAACTATAAACTCAACACTTTTTAAAAAAATATTTCCTTTTTTTCTTTGAATAGTGAACTTGCTTTAAAGTAAATGGCACATGCTTTGATAGTTTAATACAATCAGACATTTTTACTTTTCAAAAGCTTTTGATGCCAATGCATACCTTTTTAAAGGCATATTTTAGGCAGGTATTCAAATTTTAATGCAACAGTAAATTAAACTGCTCTTTTAAGGGGAAATAAGTGTCTTTTTATAGTTTTA